TTTGATTTTTAAACGAATTGCAACGTCGTGAAAATGTGCCTCAAATCACGTCGCACCAGTGCACCCGTGATTGTTAGCACATTTTGACTTCGTTGAGATTTGGATTTGGGTCACATCAATGTGCACCCGAATTTAGGGAAGTAATATTATTAAACTATGCGCCTAAAGCACCTACGCGTTTGGCTTTGCGAGGGCCATGAAATTTTGCTAAATGGCACGCCTCGGATTCTAATCATTTTGATATAAGCAATTAATGAGGGCCCCGCAATTTGTGTGTTCTATTTGGCGAGGCTCATCTCACTTTATTATTTAAAAGCCAACCTAAAGCAAACTAGGGTTTCTATTTAATTTGTCCCTAACAAAGTCTGATTAATTATTGTTAGTAAAACATCTTACTAAGACCTTTTAACAATTTTTCTTTCGGGCCTGAACTTGGCCCAACAAAAGAAATCTCAGCCAGCTTGGTGATTGGCCTGCACTTAGGCCTAAACGAGTGAGGAAAACGTCAATTGACACTGGGCCCCAAACGGATCCAGGCCCAGATATGACTTTAAAGGGAACAATCATGTTTTGGGCCTTCAACATGGCCCAGATTATTTTATCTTCAACCTGTGCAGAACAAGCTCGACATTTCTCCATGACAATTGTGACTTATTAACTTGATTACCCAGGCAGATTGAACTAATTAACCAATGTATTTGAAATTGAATTAAACCATTAGAGAAAGACTAAACGAAGCAGCATGCTCGATACTGGACTCTGCCTCTGTGCTAATATCAACTCATAATCTGTTTTGGATTTAATTTATGCTAATAGTTTAATTTCTAACTAGACTCGAATCAATTGAAGACTATTAACTTCCTGGACAACTTATTAATCACAGAAGAAGTTCATCAAGTACAGGAGAGGCTTATGACCTAAATCGTTTTTACAATCATGCTTCCTTTTTATAGAACGAAATCTAATTAACAGGATATTAACATTTACCTCACTATCACTGAACAATCAATTCAAGCCTGTTAGTCTCACACAATTCTAATTACACAATCACACCTAAATCGGAATTAAGCTACTATTGAACTATCAATATATAACAGTCCATATCAGTTGAGACAGTCCATACGAATGGTCCAGTTATACAGTCCAGTTAACAATCCAGTATTTACACACATACTACAAAATTGATTCAACACTTCAATACACCTATTTAACTATCAATACACCACGGTCCAAACAGCACACTTCAAGATCAAACAGATGAACATTTGTATTCCATTTCAAGCTTAATGTTACAGCAGGGCAGATTCAAATGTGTACCTAGTAATGGCAAATAAGAAAAGGAAAAGATCAGTAGCAATGACAGTTTGCAACAACAGCCCAGGAATAAGTTGAAATCCAGTATTAACTCAATCAACACAACAAGTTCAGGAATAGGATTGAAACTCCAGCAATGAACCAAAACATTGACAATTTCAAGCATCAATGCAGTCCAAAACCAATTCGATTACCCAGACTCAGTTTACAGCAATTCAAATAGACCTTAACAGCTCTTTAGCAGCTACTTTCACATATAGAACAGTATACTCGACAACCAGCTTATTTCTGATCTCAATGCTGAGATCAGTATTGTTTTGAAGGAATTTTTATGATTTTTAGAAACTCTGTTTTATGCCTTTTGGAAGGGGTTTAGAGGACTGCCCAAAAACTCCTCTATCAAGGCAAATGAATGCCTATTTATAGATGAACTTAGGGTCCAATTTCAGATTTTCCTTTTACCCCCTTAGTCCCTATTCTAATTTCAGTGTTTACCCCATTATTTCTGACTTGTTACACAAGCAACTAACTTAAGTTTATTAGAACCTACACTATAGTCCTTCCTAGAAAGTTCTATGCTTATTACAATCCCTATTCTATCCTTACCCCCCTTCAAAAATTACCAAATCTGATGAAAGTACCCTTTTCCCATGCCTAAACTACCCTTTGAACCTCCTGAAATTACTGGCCAAGTTAAACCAGTCCATTAACTACAACCAAGCAATCTATTTCTAGGGCTAGAGCAATTAAAATCAACTTGCAGTAAACAATTAAAATCAGATTGCAGTGAACAATTAGGATTCGACTAACTGAACCTAAAATCAGACCACTTAACAACAAATTTGAACAACAGTAAAGGCTCAACAACAAATCAGACCAATAACAACAAATCAACAGAATTAATACTGAAACAACAAATCAAAAATACTGAAACAGAATTAATAACAACAAATCAGACCAATAACAACAGTAAAGGCTCAAATACTGAAGAAAAAAATTGAAATCAAAAGTGCCCTAAAGAGTTAACGATTATCAAAACAAATTTGAACAAGCATGCAGAATCAGAACAGCATCGAACAGAACTTACTAAGTTTGAGCACTCGACTGACTATGGGGAACTCTGACCAGCTTTTGTTGTGAATCCTCCGGGATTCTTGACACGTAACATCCCCAATCGTGTGTTTTCCAAAAGAACACACATGATTAGGGAAATTACGGTCCAAAATCCCCAAGATTTTCTGAGTTAGGGTTCTGCCGGAATTGAGATTTAAAATCTGTAATGTTCCGGGCAGATTCGAGACTAGTGGCTATGGGGGTTGGGTAGAGGAGACTCAGATGAACCTAGGGTATCAATTTGGGACCATTTGGCATACTTTGGGTCTTGGCCGGAAAATCTTCAATGGCATATTCGACAAGATCGGCTATGATTCGAGGGGAACTGAGGGCATGGTTGGACAGGGGAGGGCGAGGGGAGTCAGTGGTGTATTTTTGGTGGTCATCGGAGCATCGCCGCCGGCGGCGACGATTTCCGGCCGGCGGCGGACGGCGGAGGGGCGGTGGGGCTAGGGCGGAGGAGGGTGGAGGACGGCGGAGGCAGGCGGGGTTAAGGTTTGTACGAGGAGGATGGGGATTGTCGTTGATTTTGTATAAGGATTATTACAGTTTCATTAGAAATGGAAGATCGGATCCAGGCCGTCAGATTTGGGGGTATGGACGGTTACGATCGATTTGCCAAACGACGTCGTTTTTGGTTATGGGGGGGGGGGGGGGGTCTGGACCGGGCAGGGGACGGGTTGGGCCTGGACGTGAGCATTGTGTTTGGGCTAACTGGTTTTGGCCCTAAGATTT